TAAAGTTAATTAACCAACTTTTAAGGTATAAAAGTATCAGTAAATATTTTTATAATAATAATTTCAATACCTAATTAGGTATTGAAATTATTATTATAAAAATATTTTGTTTTATTTATGTTGTGTTTTATTTATCCCAGGGCAACGCTAAACCTCTTTTTTTTGTACGTGAGTTATATTGACAAATATAATACCACAGATTATACAGATTATAATCTTTGTTTTTTCTTTATTGTTTTTCGTGGATCCAATTATCGGAATCGGGCACTAGTTTGGTGACTAGTTTGCGCACTAGTTTGGTGACTAGTTTGGGGTAGCACGCCCACTTATGGCCTCTAAAATTGTGCACAGCGCCTGACCGGCACAGTTATTAGAGAGATATCGGAAAACCGAATAGCGTCATCCAGTATTTACGCGTACCTTATCATGGTTACGATATGCGCGAGTCAATTTTTAACGCAACACCCGCTAATAACGTTACCGCCTGACGTAATATGCGGATCAATTACACCAAGCGCTCTTTCTAAATAACCTATTATTATAGGTATTTGACAACCGGAGCCAGCCGGCGAGATCTTTTATTTTAGGTTATGTTAGTTAGTTTTATTAGGTAATTTGATATTTAAGTAGCTGGGGGATTAGTTTTAATTAAATAAATATGGCCCAAAATATGGATTCCACCTCTTCCAATACTAAAGAACCTATAAAGAGTCTTAGGTTTACAGCAGATGACGACTTAGCCCTTCTAAGAGAATTTGTTGCTTGTTGCCCTAAACCCACTGGCAGACGTTGAACGATAAAGCACTGGAAATAAGCACTTTAGCCCTTTAGTTTTAAAATACCTAGTAAACAAAACAATTTCAAAGTTTTAAATTCAAAGTTAGGTTAAGTTTAAATAGCGGACGCGACGCGATCAGAATTCTTTCCGATCCGATAACTATAAATGAAGAGAGTTAATACCACCTCACGTAAAGGAAATAACACCTGGCCTTATTAACGTCCATGCACGCTATTCCGTTTAGCGATATCTCTCTATTACGCTGTTTATTGTTATTTTACGCGAGCTTATTTTTGCGCACAGGAAATTTGACTCGTTTGCACATCATCATAAAAAACAATTTTCGTACCACGAATTAGGGACAAGATTTTTATCTGTATACTTATAGGATACCTAATCTGTGATAATACCAAATGCAGCAAGTTTTTTGAAGTTTGCAAGTAAGATATACTTATTTTTATCGGTTTTTTGGACGTGGTGTTTTGTTTAACACACACCCACTTTTTTTAATAAAATATTTCCATTAGATTTTTTCAGTTTTATAATTTTTTTTCATAATATTAATTTAAATCTATTAATTTCCCGCTTTTCATTCCAATTTTTTTTATTAGGATTAAAAATGGAACATCTTATGGCGAGGCTGTTCGTTTGACATACAGGCGACGCACAAAAAGTCATTTTTGCTCCGAATAGAACATGCAATTTTTTTCAAATGTCAGAAATAAGCTTTTAAAAAATTCCGTTCCAAACGTTCCATATAATATAAAAAGATTTAAAAGTAATACCTTGTATGTTTGAAGATCATTATGTTATAGATATAAACTATGGTTACGGATCGTTGAATTTGACACTTTATGTCAATTTAATAATATATTTTCGTACTTTTTTGCTTAGGCGTAAAAGTGCTTTACTTTTAAGCCTAGGCGTTAAAATGACTTTTTTTACGACTAGCCTAGCAAATGCAGTTTGACACACGGAAAACTCGATCTGAAATTGGCGTTTTGCAAACTGTTGTGTGCTAAGGATTTAGCGAACGACATGTGTCATTTTGCACACGACATGTGCCAATTTTAACATTTTTAACCTCCAGTGTTTAAAATGTGTTCCACTGGAAAGTGTCATCAAAACTGGCAAAAACTGAGTGAGTCAGCTGCTAATTTGTAGTCGTAGAAAAAATAGCGAAAAAACTCGTTCAAAAACTTCTTTGTACACTCGTTCGACCTGTGGCTCGAGCCGCAGGCAAGACCAAACCAACAAACTGTCGAACTAGTGTGCAAAACGTCGTTTTCGAAACTCGTTGTTTAATATACTATTTTTATATCGGCCATCAAATTAATACTTTTGTGACGAAAAGACTATTATTATTTTCGATTCTATAATATCTTTCGAAAAATAAACAAAAATCTGTCCGTACCGCCACTGACATCTCTCGATGCTCGCGACATTATTTTAACCCCATTGTTACGGTTTAAAGTTTATATAGAGCGGAGAGTTTTTTAAGGGCTCTCGTACAGCTCCCCGCTCCATAGAATTTGATCCTGGCAGATAACAAACACGCCAGCCTCTCTTGCAGCCTCCATTGTGTCCGCTTTTTCCTTGCTTTTCTGCATCGATTCTCGTTTTAATGTTCCGATAATGGGGCTCTCGATTAAAGAATTTCAGCGCCGAGGGTCGGATGGGGTGGGTTTTTTGATGCGACATCGAAGTATCAAGTTCGGGGATTGTCGTATTTGTTTACGTTTTGTGGTAGGTTCTTGGTGATTGTTGTTGGAAAATAGGATAGAGAATGCCTTATTTTGAAGTACCTGTTTCAAATATAGATATTTTGAGACGTAAATGACATGAATTTTATATTTTCTTCAATATGGTTCGTCTATTCTTGTACGGCACCAAACCAAACTAAAACATATACAATTTTATATACTAATTCATTATAATAAAATTAAATAATAAAAATATTGCAGTTATATTTCCACAGTTTAAGTGAAAAGTTTTGTTCCCAAATATCTACTACTACTATATACAGGGTGGTCCGAACTGTATTACGGAAACTTCGGCAGTATATACTGCAGATAAAAATAAGTCAAAAAGTTCGTATAAATGTATGTCCTAAAATGCTTAGTTTCAGAGATACAGAGTGTGGAAATTTCATTTTTACTTCGATTATTTCCAAATAATTTCTAAAGTACCGTCAATATTTAGATGAAAATTGGTGTCTGGAAGTTTTTTGACATGAGAAATTTGATTTTGAGGTCAATATGACTCCTACTTGTAGAGGGCGCCACCTACATATTTTTAACTGGTTTGAAGATTAATAACTTTTTGTCCGTACCGGTATAAAACTACCGAGTTTAAAAATATACATTTGTAACGTTTTCTACGTAAAAAAGGTCCCTTGGTAAAATTCGCTAGGAGTAATGATTCTCGAGATATTTGGATTTAAAATTATCAATAACTGTCATAACTTATGAATAATTTAAAAAAATAAAATGTTCCCAAATTTAGTCATTTCAGTTACGTTTATTATTTGTCAATAATGACATGTATTGACTATTTCCATTCAAAATATCTTGAAAACAGTTGCTCCTAGCGATTTTTACCAAGAGACATTTTTTACGTAAAAAATCACGGAAATGTATATTTTTTCACTCAATAGTTTTATACAGGTACGGACGAAAAGTTATCACTCTTCAAAACAGTTAAAACACATGTAGGTGGCGCCCTCTATAAGTAGGAGTTATATTGACATCAAAATCAAATTTAACATGTCAAAAAACTTCCAGACACCAATTTTTCGTCCAAATATTGACGTTCCTTCAGAAATTATTTAGAAAAAATCTAAATAAAAACGAAATTTCTACACCCTGTATCTCCGAAACTAAGCATTTTAGAACATACATCTACACGAACTTTTTTGCTTATTTATATGTGCAGAATATGCTGCCGAAGGTTCCGGAATACAGTTCGGACCACCCTGTATATTATAAACGCGTGTTCAAATAATATGGTGGAATATAATATATCAACTATAATCGAAACGAGATGTAATTAAAGAAATATCATCGTAACAATAGCTATTTTAGAAATGTCTAGGTTTACTTATTTCACTGAGATTTATGAAAAAAAATTCTTTGCCTCGGATACAGATACCGCCACGTTTTGGAAATAGCTTAAAACAAAACAAAATTGAACGAGGTAACAAAAAACGCCGAAAAAATCCCCTCACGCCCTCCTTACGAGTAGTTTTCAGGCGCTTTTAAGAATCGAAAGTAGGTCGAGGCAAACCGAAGTGGGTCAAGATAACTGGAAATAAATCGAAATTCGTCAAATTTGGGCGAAGAAATGCGACCTTGACATGATTCGAAGAGTTCTCCGCATAGTGTAGCGGCTCAAAAAGACCCTTGTGTTTCTCCTTTGAGAAGCAGGACAATGGTTAATTATATCCCGGCTTTTTATATGCACCGCGTAAAGATCGCACTGCTCGCAGCGATGCCCCTTTCTTCATCGTCCCCATAAAATCGATTTTAAGTAATTCTCGGCCGCATAATTGCCTTTTTTGGTTTTTGTGCCCGTTTTGATCTCGACCGGCCGGCGCGGCAAGTCGATGCAGATTCGATACGATGTTTACGTTCGGCGATTCGATCTGAACATCGTCGAGGAATTTTTACATTCAAATTAATTCGTCCTCGCCGATGAATGGTTTTAAATATTGTTGCCAAGCCACAGGAAGCTTTGATCAATCGAATGATAAAAGTATTTAAATAAGTAATTAAATGAATCGATTCGCAATTCGTTGAACACTTAATTAGTTTGTCTAGGTTACAACGTTTTTCGTCTTCCGATTTCTAATCTCCACCTCTCTCTATATCCCCCTCCATCTACTTCCAAACCTCTGTACAAAACTTCTTTATCAATACCCTCCCTCCAGCTCTTGCGTGGTCTTCTTCTTTTTCTCCAATTTAATATTTTCTTTGAGATTCGATGTTCTTCCATTCTTTGCACATACCATATTAATTGCTGAGTTCTAATGTCATCTACAATGTCGTGTTTTAGTTCCATTTGGCGTCTTATGGTTTCATTTGGTATTTTATTTTTTCTGGATTTTTCAGCCGATCTTCTCCAAAAGTCCATCTCCGTGGTTTTTAAGGTAATTATGCTTTTTACCATGGTCATAATTGTAAATTCTTTTTATTTTCTATTGTCAAATTTTTATCCTTTAGCATCAAAACTGCTTTTCTGCCTTGCATATTTCTCTTCCGTCTTTGGATATTTTAATTCCGAGATATTTGTAGCTGCTGCAATGTCTGATGACTTGTCCTGTTACTATTCGTAGGTTTTGTTGTTGTCTACCAATGCACACGTATTCCGTTTTTTTAATGTTCAGTTCCAATCCCCATTTTTCATAATCCTCGTTAAGTTTTCGGGTCATGCATTCCAAGTCCTCTATATCTTGTGCTACAACAGCCTGGTCATCTGCGAATGACAAGATGTACACTGTAGTATCATCATCTACTGGTAATCTCATATAACTACATTTTCGTTCAGTGTATTTTCCAAGTAAATCTTAAATAATATGGGCGATAAGCAACATCCTTGTCTAAGGTCTTTAGTGACTGTAAATCCCGGTGTTAAGCCATGGTTTGTTGTAATTCTGTATTTTGAGTTACAGTATAAGGATTTAACAACCTTTATTATTTGTGTTCATATTGCTTTGTTGCAGCGTCTCCCAAAGTCTCCCTAAAGGTATACTGTCGTAAGCTTTCTTCAAATCAACAAATAGAATATGAACTTCCTGATCGAATGCTGTTTTCGTTTCTAAGATTTGAGTTAATGTGAAGAGATGGTCTGCTGTGGATCGTCCTGCTCTAAGGCCTGCTTGTTCTTCAGCCTCCATATCAGCATATTTTTTTTCAATTCTATTTTTCAGAACCTTTCCATATAACGCTGCTAATGGTACCTGTAACCGCGAGTGTAACCGCTATTCCTCGATAATTATCGCAGTTACTTTTATCTCCATTTTTATGTATTGTTGATACGTATGACAGCTTCCATTCTTCTGGTACTTCCGAGGTGTTGAATCATTTTTGAAAACCTTGTATAATTATATTTGACTCATTGTCTTGGATATCTATAAATTGTGGTCTGTCTTCTGTAAGCATTGTCCCTTTTATTAAAAAATAAATAAATGCACTGTGTCTCATCGTCACACTTTTTTCATCAACGAACTACAGAAAAACAATCTCTCAAAAAAAAGTTTCCAGAAAAAAATAATTAAACGACATCGATTCCTGAAATACCAAACTGCCGTTAAATTAAACCGACTTTAAGGTTGCTTTACACGGATCGTTGGTCGGACATTTTCCTCGGTAACCGCAGCGGTAATAGAGTCGTAGGTAATGTGTACGGAGCTTAAGAGAAACGAACGGAAAAAGTAATAAAAAAGGAGTAAAACGAATTATTTGTCGAATTGACACAACAGCAGCGGAGTCGAACGATAGTCGCCGAAGTGTGACTGACCATGAATAAAATAATAAACATCTTGACCAAAAATGTCTTAATATAGCTTTATATAGAGTGTACCTTAAAAAAAAAGGTTCGTATTTGAACCGATGTTGTCTGATTTATGTTAATTACATAAATGTGATGTCAACATAAAAATTAAATTCATGAATAATAATATTTCCTAGATTGACGAAATTCAAGAGAAATATAAGATTTCAAAAATTGTATTCGTTATAATTTACTCTAGAGTTCCTCCATTTCTCATCTTCCATCTAGTTTAACGAATACAATATACGGGGCTGTTCACCACATACGACACGGAGTATTATAGCTAAACGATTAGATTTTTACAAATTGTGAGTTTTGGGTTCGTGGAAGGACTATTAGAGCTACAATTTAAAAATATTTAGGTAAAAAATGGCATAACACAATTTGATAGACAATTAAATTGTGCATCTAATTTTCATAAAATATACAGGGTGTTTCATTTAAATTAAACTATTAAGTAATTATTTAAAATAAATTTTTAGACACTCTGTATAAGGTAGTATAATTTTTCTTATTGCAACACAAAATTTAGGAAATAGAAATACTTCAGTACAATATTTGGTTTTAAAAACTTAAATACACCTAGAGAAAAAAAGCATTAAAATTATTGCTGTATTTTGACAAAAACCTAAATATTCCAAAAACGGTAAGTTTAAAATGTGGTAAACCTGAATCAAATTTACCTTTATTTTAATCGTAGAAACTAAAAATGTAATAATATACAGGGTGTTCCGATTAAAAAATAGAACTTTGATATTTTTTATTTATTTGGGACACTCTATATCTTGTAAAATTATTTTTAAATTGTAGCTCTAATAGTCCTTCAATGAACCCAAAACTTACAATTTGCAAAAATCTAATAGTTTAGCTAAAATACTCGATGTCGTATGTGGTGACCAACCGAGTGAACAACCCTGTATAGAGTTCCTCAATTGCCCATCTTCTTGTATAAAATTTCTATTTTACATTACTTTAATGTAATTTGTCCATAATTTATAGATAAAAAACAAAACAAAAAATAATAAATAAGCAGAAAATGTAAATGCAAAGGTACGAGTCACAATTAAGAAAATAATAATAATATAAATTAACAAATAAATACCGTATTCTCAATTTTCTCAGTTTTTAAAGTCTGTTAATAATCAATTTTATATTTATTTCAATGGTATTACCTTGTTCTATATACTTATAAAACTGAAACTCGAAGTAATTGGTGGCAATTCCTAACTAATTAAATAAAAGGAAAGGCGAATGCATATTTACATGGAGACCAATTAGAACTTTAACGTTCTACAATTTAATTCTCGCTCAATTCGATTCTGATTCCTTTCATGATGAAAGTTCACTTTATAGTTCCTGCAAATAAAGTTCTGAAACACTTCTTCTCCTTTTGCTTTTAGTTTTTTCATTAGCGTCTCGGCAGGGTTGTAGATCCAGGGATGCAGCACCCCAAACTTAAATGTAAATAGAAAAACAATTTTCTTCTTTACAATTTTTTCATATTTTATTATAAAAAAGGTTTACTTTACAAGTAAACTTTTACTAAAATATAGCCTTATAAAAATATAAATATTTAGGCAGGTGGTTGACTGAAAACTTGGATCAATCAGCAGAAATAAAAGCTCGAATAGAAAGAGCCAGAGCATCCTTTGTAAAACTCAAAAAATCTCTCTGTAGTGGAGACATCAACTTAAAGCTTAGATTAAGAATGCTAAGGGGTTACATATTTGCAACTCTACTCTATGGTTAAGAGGCTTGGACACTTAAAAAGGCCGAAATGGAGAAGCTTGAGGCATTCGAAAGATGGTGTTATCGGCGTATGCTGAGGATTGCATGGACGGACAAGGTTACAAATGTAGAACTGCGACGCAGAATTCAGAAGGATGAAGAGGTGATTAACACCCTTAAAAAGAGAAAACTTGTGTACTTTGGACACATAATGGAGAGGACCTAAATATGACCTGCTGCAGAACATAATAGAAGGAAAGATAAAGGACAGAAGGAGCCAAGGAAAAAGAAGAACATCATGGCTCAAGAATTTGAGCGAATGGTTTGGAATGACTTCAAACCAGTTATTCAGAGCAGCTGTTAACAAAGTTAGAATTGCCATGATGATTTCCAACCTCCATTAGGAGATGGAACCCGAAGAAGAAGAAGAAGCCTTATAAGCTTAATGTCTCAGGACTAATCTGAACATATCAGATAGAATCATCATAATCATTTATAGCTTATTCAACCCTTTCCAATTATGGTGTAGACTCACTCACATATTTAGGTACTCTCTTTGTAGTTGGGTCCATTGTTGTCTATTGTTGATTATGCAGTACGGTGTCTCGTTATTTCCCAAGTTGATTTTTTTTGCTGCCGCCCTCTGAAATTTTAGTTTTTGCTCTAAAAAAATATCCAACCTAAACAAGCTCTTAATTTTTAATTTAAACCGTGCCGGTATGATAATTATGATAATTTTCCCATTTAAATAACATTTTTCTGACCTTTTGCATTTAATTTTTTATCTCCAAAGCAAATGAACCTACAGCTTCGACAAAGACATACTCTAATACAAAATTTTATGCTCTACAAAAAAGGTCTCTTTGGTTTTGCCACAAAAACATTCCTTTAAAAGTTATTCGCGGTCAAAGTTGCACACTGAAAGGCGGTGAAACAATAACCTTAAATTATAGTTTTGATCAAATGATCACAGATGGCGCAATATTAGTTTTCCATATTAAAGTTGGTAAAGAAATAGTTTTATTGAAAAAAGTATTGCTCTAGATCCTTTTTTAGTCAAAATCAAAAGGACCAATTAGAATTTGCAGTGAATGGTAGCAAAATTTGATTATAAAGTATGTGTATAACTTTGACCGCGAAAGCATTGTTGATCACTTGTAGTACACATTGATTCAATATATTTGCTAGTCCTATTGATCCTATACATTTTCCTATATATTTCCTTGAATATTACCGCAAGCTACTGAGTCTCCCATTTCCAGAAACACCAAAAACTTTTGAGTTTTTCGCTCTCGACAAGGTTTAACTCCGATACTTCCTCTCTCTTTCAAAAAACGACAAATTTTAATATATCTCGAAAACAGTCCGACCTATTACTAAATATAAAGTGCCCTTGCTGGCTTTAAAGTATTTACAAAACTTTAGTTTCGAAGTGGTTTCAGTTTGGAAATAAACGGGACAAAGAGCGGAGATGAATTTCTCCGACATTTTAAATCTACGTCGGCATTCGTTCGCTGTAAACTATTTGGTTTAACTTTGTCGAGAATTGGGGTAGAGTTGAATTTTATTTATTTCTACTACAGTGATTTAATCTAGTTTTAATACATTTAGTAATTTAAGAAAATAGTTATTTTTTATATAAGACGATAAAATGGTATTTTATCGCCGACCGAAAAGATTAATTTCGGGAGACGATAATGCAATTTTATCGTCGTGTATAAAACAATTTTTTTTCCATAGCGAGTTACGTTTTAAAAAATATTCAGAAGTAATTATTTCAAGGAATTTATTACGAGTAGAAAAAATATTGTGCTGGGTTGGCGTTGGTTTCTATGTAACTTGACAAATAAATCGTCAGTTTTGAGTCAATATTTTTTAATTCTCTTTCGTGTCGATTGCTGATTGAATTGGAGCTAGAAATGGCTCAAAACGAAATAAGTAAATTACCAACAGATATTGCTGCAGGCTGAGGCGACAAACGCCATATCCAAATTATTCCCATTTAAGTCCTGAATAACTTATGAAAAGGAATACAAAATTTTTCAAAAATGGAAGCAACTAAAAAACGTGCGAGAAGAAATAAAGTTTTTAACCTATCCTCCCTGTTAAAGTACTATTTTATCTACTATGTTTGATAGATGTAAGGCAATTTTAACAGCTGCTATGAAAAAAAAACATTTTTTCCATAATTCCATAATTCCCTCAAGTAGTTACAATTTCAAGTACTTGAAAAGTCAGGCAATTGCTCACAACTACTTGATTTTTCTCAAGCTACTTGATTACTTCGCTTGATCTAAGGAACATAAGGCTTCTAACAGCTTTGTCGCCTAATCGGTTTCGGGTTTTGTGACAGTAAAGGCGACTCTAAAAAACTGTCTTTCAACAGGAGCTGATGACGCTGGTGTGGTTAAAAAATGCCTGGCCATGTTAGCTAAATTTGGAAAAACATTTTCGTGTCTTCGCCACCATTCTAAAATATCCTCAGAACTATCAGCTATTGAATCGGCTAAGTATTTGCCAATTCATCACTTAATTTACTATTGTCACTTCGAATTTCTGATGCGTCGATTTTTAAAAAGCAAGGAAACCATATCAAAAGGTGGATTAAATTACAAT